CTCGTGACTCAATGAGACTACCTGTATAAATAAAGGTAAATGAAAAAATAAAAGTTTAAAATAGAAATACTCGCATCATTAGGCCGAGGTTGTGTGTGTGTCGTGCACGTTCCTGAGAGTGTGTGGGTGACGTGCACGTTCCTGAGAGTGTGGGTGTGACGTGCACGTTCCTGAGAGTGTGTGTGTGTGACGTGCACGTTCCTGAGAGGCCACAGACAGAGCAGCTCCAGCTTTTGTTGAGTTCCTGTAGTCCTGTAGTTTTCAAGCTGAAATGAAAAAACATCATGAATATGAACTTTACAGTCTATAGTTACCTGTTCATATAAACACATGGAGGTGTCTCACCTTGTGACTCACAATAAAATATGTACATTTATGAACTCTAATGAACTTATAATGATGCTCCTACTGAGATCTGATGACAGGAATATTTTTCTAACAAGCATACTCACTATTTCAGTAGCTTTGGTTCATTATCAAGAGATATGTATCATAATTGGAGTTTTGTTGAAGTTCTAGGATATAAAAAATAAATAAAACTAGAGAGAATATAGGAAATAGAAAATAAGATTGACCTCCTCTGTACTATGTTTTTGTGTAGACACAAATGTCCTGTTTTCATTTTGAAGGTTTCCCAAAGAACAAGATGTAAGGAAGAGGTGGAAGTATCTTTGAGGAGGATTCATCTGAGCAGTGAGGATTTTAAACTGGAGGATTTTGATCAAACTGATCAAACTGTCCGACTGAGAGATGGTGTGGTACCATCGGTTCACCTTCAAAGAGTTAGCTTCATTGCAGCTGAACACCGTGTTACACTGAACATCACATCAGCTGGTGGACATAAATACAGTACAGTAATCCTGATGCATGCTCAATAATCCAGGTAGAAAAATCTAAACAAGTTAAATCTGGTCCTCTGGACATTCAAAAAAAAAAACAAAGCAAATCAACAAAAAAATGTAGAAACGTTTCGTCCCTCATCCGAGAGACTTCCTCAGTCTGAGGAGCTGTATTCAGCTCAGTCTCTTAAATAGCACCGTCTCAGAGTGGATCAACCAGTTTTGCTGCTGACAACCAAAACCAGCTGATCACATGCTCAAGAAAGACCATCAGCCTAACAATGGATCATTAGCACACTGATGGCTGTTTACTGTTCACAGAGGGCTGAGTGATACTAGCAATCACAGCATTGTAAGAGGGGGACAGTTGAACCCGGAGGCCTCCACCCCTGTTTAACGATGGACGATTTCTTTTCACAAAGATGGCCTCCTTTACTCCTCTCTCAAACCATCGTTCCTCTCTGTCCAGGATGTGAACATCTTCATCCCTGTGTAGTGAACTTGACCTGATGTCAAAACTTGACCTTAGGATCATATGGTCAGAAACTGTCATTTCATTGATTTGCATCCAGAGATACAGGTTGACCCATCCTGAGACTTTCTTTCTTGAATTAATCAAGTGGAAAAAGACAATTCTCTATGATCATTACTATTTTACAAATGTTTTGATAATCAAATTGTGTTAGTTCAAACAATGTTTACATGTTGAAGTGAACTACTCATTTTTATTTACTTAAAACAGTAATAATGATTTTTAATCCTCATTCAAAGAAGAAATCAGGTTAATATGCATTTCTTGATTTTCTGTCTTCAATAAGCAAAGTTGTAAGTGTGTCGAAGTTCAAGTTTCGGTCAACTGAAAGTTTACTGAAAAGAAATGTCATGTTTAACTTTTATAGCAAGATACTAGGAGAGGTGGCTCCTCGAAGTCTGAATTCTCCATAACAATCTTTCTGTCTGTTCTTAAACAATCTGAATCTTTTCCTTGACTTTTAATAACACCTTACATCACAAAACACACCTCTGTTCTGGTCCACCGACCAATCAGAGGCTCTCAAATGCACCGGAAATAGAGCTCTTTAAATGTCGGTACTTCCTAGTTCTCCCCAGTTCCTGTTGGGTCGAAGTTCCAAGCTGGGAAACAGGACATGACCACAGAGCTCTCCCGAGTCTTATGGGATTATAAATCTTCCACCTCTGAGTGGAACTCTGACGGACTCCACTCATGTGAAGTCCACTTGTTGAGGTGAACTGTTGTTGACGAAGCCGCGTCACCACTCCGGATATATCTCTGCCATCCTACGGAGACGCTGAAAGGTAGCGTTAACTGGAGCTCCTCTTCCGCTGATTCATCGTCAGAGAGGTAATGAGTCTAGTCCACTACCGAGCGTACCGAGGAAAGCTGGGTCGGATGGAGGGTGTCGTCCTGTCAACACTTTTCACTCATACACACACCATCTCCCTTCCTCTAAACTTCAATCTTTAAAATTCTTCTATCTGCTAAAGTCATTACAGATAATTTTAGAAATGTCTGAAGCAAAGTTCTCAATCACCGCCGTGTGATTTGATGTCTGCTGTTCTGCTGAAAAGTGAAAACAATCGCCGTATTGTTCTCACTCCTGTAAAACTGGTTAATAAGCTGTCGTTATTTTCATTTTGCCAATTAATGTAAATGTGTGATGTGTTAAACTTGATTCTGTTAATAAATGACCGCATTCATTTTGATGGGTCAAAGATAATTAACGTCTCACGTCCACATTTTATTACATTCAACGCACGTTGATATACAGTCCAGAAAAATGAAAGAACCCGTTTTAACAGTATGAATATATCTCAGGATATGTCATATTACACCTGAAAGAGTGACCGCTGGCCTGGAGATGAGTGTAGACCGCAGAGTCCTTGCCTGATGATGTTGATCTTCTGTGCTGGGCCATCCTTTTGGCCAGTGGCTGTTTTGTTTCCCCCATGTAAGACTGATCACAGCCCTCCTGACACTGAACAGCATACACAACATTGCTCTGTTTGTGCCGGGGGACTGGATCTTTGGGATGAACCAGTCTTTGCCGTAATGTATTTTGGGGTTTAAAAGCCACTGGGACGTTATGATTAGAAAATAAACGTCTCAGTTTCTCTGATACTCCCTCAACATATGGAATGACCACTGGTCTGGGTCTGGGTTCCTCCTTTTCACCTGTTGGCTGACTGGAGTCCTGTTTGGGTTTCTTCTCTGCTTTCAGGAAGGCCCAGTTAGGATATCCACATTGCTCTAGAGCCTGTCTTGTGTGGGATTTCTCCTTCTGCCTGGCTCCTGAGCTAGTGGGGACGCTGTCTGCTCTGTGATACAGAGTCCTGATGACTCCTAACTTGTGCTCCAAAGGGTGATGGGAGTCAAACTGCAAATACTGGTCTGTGTGGGTGGGTTTGCGGTACACCTCAGTTTGCAAATGTCCTCTATCAGAGACTGAGACCTCACAGTCCAAGAAAGCCAACCTGCCATTTTTTACATCTTCTCGTGTGAATTTGATGTATTTATCCACAGAGTTGATGTGGTCAGTAAAATGTTGGACTTCCTGAGATTTGATTTTAACCCAGGTGTTGTCAACATACCTGAACCAATGACTTGGTGGTGTCCCTGAAAAGGACGTCAAGGCTCTCTTTTCTACCTCCTCCATGTACAGGTTGGCAACAATAAGAGAAACTGGAGACCCCATAGCACACCCATGTTTCTGCCTATAATATTGCTCCCCATATGTGAAGTAGGTTGACTGCAGGCACAGTTTCAAGAGTTGACACAGTTGTTCTGTGGAAAGTGTGGTCCTGCTGCTCAGAGTGGTGTCTGATTTTAATTTTAAACTGACCACCTCTACTGCATCATCAACAGGAATGCACGTAAAGAGTGATGTGACATCAAAAGAGACCATTGTTTCATCAGTCTCCATGATGACCTCGCTCACCTTGTCCACAAAGTCCATGGTGTTCTGTATGTGGTGTTCTGAGCTGCCAACTAAAGGGAGAGCTGCCAACTAAAGGGATGAGTACAGACGCCAGATATTTGGAAACATTGTAAGTGACAGAGTTAATCATAGTAACAATTGGTCTTAAAGGTACACCTTGTTTGTGGATTTTAGGTAAACCATACAGACTAGGTGTGGCCTCCCCTGGGTACAGTCTGTGGTACAGAAAACGGTCAATAGCCTTGTCCTGCTCCAAAATTTTCAGGCAATCTATTAACTTTTTTTTTTTTTTGGGGTGGAGGCCTCCGGGTTCAACAGTCCCCCTCTTACAATGCTGTGATTGCTAGTATCACTCAGCCCTCTGTGAACAGTAAACAGCCATCAGTGTGCTAGTGATCCATTGTTAGGCTGATGGCCCTTCTTGAGCATGTGATCAGCTGGTTTTAGTTGTCAGCAGCAAAACTGGTTGATCCACTCTGAGACAGTGCTATTTAAGAGACTGAGCTGAATACAGCTCCTCGGACTGAGGAAGTCTCTCGGATGAGGGACGAAATGTTTCTACATTTTTTTGTTGATTTGCTTTGTTGTTTTTTTTTTTGTTTGTTTTTTTGAATGTCCAGAGGACCAGATTTAACTTGTTTAGACAGTACAGTAATATTATATTCACAAAATACTAACGATAATATGTTCATCTTACTTGTGAAAAGTTATCCCCCGAGACCTGACGTCAACAGTCCGTCGATTAGAACAGAAATAAGCTGCAAAGTGCTGAGACATCTTCTGCTTTAACCAAATAAGGACGACCGTTCCAAGATGGCGGCCGAAAAACCTGCGCCGCAGCAGCCAATGAGGGATCTAGTGATAATATGATATATACGACGCCCACCCCCTTTCACTCGCCAGTGTTGCCAGATTGGCAAGTTTACTGCCAATTGGGCGATTTTCATTTAGATTTTGCTGGAAACTCTGCGAAGATTTTTGTTGGATTGTTGCGTTTGGCCACATATTGTTAAATGTACTGATGTGCATTCATGTTAAAACAGTAATTATACTGTAACAATATATTGATTGAGCGGATTTTTGTGTGACGTAGCGGTTTTTAACAGAATTTTGGCCTGGGGAATATCGACTCTATCTGGCAACACTGAGTTTACATCGTGGAGGAGAACTTTTTTTTTTTTTGGTTTCTTTTTTTTTTTTTTTTGTAGCGGGGAGGAGAACAGTGAGGAAAAGCAGCTGCTGTTCTCAGGACGAGTCTGAACAGAAGGTAACTATCAGCTGGTACTCATTACACAGCTTTCTACTGTGATAGCTGAGATTTTATAGCTTCTGGTCTTTAAAGAGGCTGTTTATTTGTAGCTAAGGCTGAGCAACCAACGTGCTAATGATGCTAAGCTAATCTGTTTGTGTTCAGGAAGGAAATAAAAACTACAATTTATATAACCGAGTAAACAAAGTCATTATTACAGTCAACTCCAAACAAGATTTTGACTAAAAATACTTGTATAACTGTGTTATTTGGCAGTTCGAGTTATTTACTGATGCTAACTTCCTGTCGGTAGCTGCTGGTTTATATTTAGTTATATTCCTGGAGGAAATATTTAACAGCAGTCATAAAGTTAACGGTCTTTAGGAGGGTGGAAAGGATCAGTTTTCAGTGTAGCCAACATTTTTCAGTCAGGTCATCTGGACAGTTTCATTTTTTTGTGCTGAAACGTTTCGCCTTCGATCCGTAAGGCTTCATAGGAAACACACAACAAACCGTTGGTTACGTACTGTAACCCCAGATTCTATGAGTATAGGCGTAGCCCTTAAAGGCTGTCGCTTAGTGGGTTTATCCCCGATATGCAAAGCATCGCACTGAAAAATTTAGTCCACACCCACCTGCTGTGTGGGCCCCACCCGGTCCGTATAAATTACGTTAAGAGCGGGAAATCGGCTCCCAAAAATAGTTTTTTCTTCAGCCATTTAGGAGCCAGTGAGGCCTGATGCTTAAAGGGCTACGCCTATACTCGTAGAATCTGGGGTTACAGTACATAACCAACGTTCTATTTCGTATAGGCTTCGCCCTTTAAGGCTGTCGCTTAGTGGGTTAAGGGCGAAGCAGAGGTTGTCCTCGCCTCACTGGGTCCATTCAAACACCGTATGAAGCAGAAGCTTGCCCCAAAAAACGTCTTGTCACTCAGCGTAAATTACGCATCGCGTAATTATGTGTGCCATGCACAGACGCATGTTGTGTAACTATGCGTTCTGAATGCATGAACGCCCCGGAAAACTTCAACGGGGAGGGAAAAAAGCTGAAAAGAGCCATGAACCAACCGGTTTACGGCTGAACCGTATGAACATATTAATAATAACAGAAGAGCTGATTATTAATCAAATGAACTGATTGGTAACAATAGTCGTGAACTGATTAGTGACAATAGAACCAAAATAACAATCACAACTTGAGATTGATAACATCTCACACTGTAATGCATGCAGACAGATGTGAGTAAAACGGAGTTCCATGAAACAACAATATTCATTCTGTAAACACTAAAGACAGAATGTGTCATGGAACAAGCCGTCACATCACGTAGATAAAAGCGAATAAATGAGCAGGGTGTTGACCACGCGGCCGCAGTGCAAAATGTCCTGCATTGTCATACCATTATGCAAAGCAGTCGAATATGCGATACCCCTAATCGAGTGTGCTCTGAGGTTGACAGGAGGCTCTAAATCTAATGCTCTGTAGGCTTCAGAAATGGCCTCACACATCCAGTGTGACAAACGCTGGGTGGATAACGGGCGACCTGCAGATGCATCTCTATAATGCACAAACAAATGTTGACGCATTGCAGCTGTGCACGCTATGTAACACGTCAATGCCCGCACCGGACAGAGGAGATGAAAAGACGCTACTTCTTCTGATCTGTGTGTGAAGGGGGGGAACCCCTCCAACGATATCGCTCTTTATTTAAAAGAGCTCGTGATGTTTTAGGCATAAAAGCTGGATTTGGTCTTAAATCAGCTGAGCTGCCGTCAGCCTGAATTCTGAGACATGATGGAGCGACAGAGAGGGCAGATAAATCACTCACTCTCTTAGCGGATGTTAAAACCAGCAGCAGGGCTGTTTAAATAGACAAGAATTTAAGTGGAACCTGATCCAAAGACTCAAATGGAGCTTTGATCAGGACCTGCAGGACCAGTATTAAATCCCACTGTGGAACAAGTGGGTGTGAAAACAGGCCTGCGTCTCTGTACACCTTTTAGAAAACGCTTCATCGGCGGATGATTAAAAACCTGTTCTGTCTCCGAAACCTTTCGTGGCAGGAAGAGATGGCTGCAGCGTACATTTAATCGTGCTGGACGCCAAATTTCTGTCCATCAGCTGCTGGAGAAAGGACAGCATGCCTTCTAATGGACATGAGGTGGCCTCTACACTTCTCTGTACACCAGCGCTGAAAAGCTGTCCGCTTTGATGTGTATAGCGCTGTGGTAGATGCAGCACGTGCAAACAGAATTGTGCGCACTACATCCTGTGGGCGACCCATCCTCTCTAAGCGGATCCGTTCAGCGGCCAGACCCACAGGTGCTGGCCTATTTCTGGGTAACTCCTGGTCACTCCTCCTGCCTGGAGGAGAGCGTCCTCCCTCCACGGCAGTTTCCACGGGCACCCCGACAGCAGGCGTTGCAGGACTGGGAACCATGGTGCGCTCACGCGTTCGGGGGCCACCAGGAGAGCTGTCAATCCCTCCTCCTGAACTCTGTTCAGGAACCGTAAAATCAGAGGAGGTGAAGGAAAAACGCGTACAGAAGCATTTTGGGCCATGGGCTGTGGGCAAACGCATCCATCCCCAGCGGTGGTTCGTCTCATGGGCTCAGAGAAAACCATAATTGACACTGAGCGTTTCTCGTGTCGCAAACAAATCTACAGCTGCTTTGCCAAACTTCTGCCACGTCTGAGCCATCAGGTCTGGATGGAGAGTCCAGTCCGCGTGACGTGGGCCGCCCCTGGACATCACATCCGCCCCTCTGTTCAGAACACCGGGTATGTAAACTGCTCTGATAGAGAGCAGATTTTGGTGAGCCCAACACAAAAGCTTTCGCGCAATGTGGAACATCTGGGCTGAGCGCACACCCCCCTGTTGGTTTATGTACGCAGCAGTCACCTTGTTGTCTGTGTGAATCAACACATGTTGATTCTGTAGCACGGGAGCAAAGTGTTGAATCACGTTCAGCACCGTGCGACACTCCAAAACATTTATGTGGGCTGATGTGTGATGGGGCCACAGCGTCCCTACTGCTTGAAATAGGCATGTCCCCCCCCCCCCCAGCCTGACAGTGACGCGTCCGTGAAGACTGACACGTGTGACGTGGGTCTGCTGACGGGAACTCCCTCCGACAGAGACAGGGTGTTTCCCCAGTGTCGGAGGTCTGCTCTCACGGAGGGGGGAATGGTGATCATCCGTCTCTTTTGTTTTACTGGATCCACGCGCAGACGCACAAACCATCTCTGGAGGCGTTTCATGTGTAACAAACCCAGCGGAACCACTGTGTGAGCTGATGACATCATTCCTAACAGCTTCATGACAGAGACAGCTGTTACCACTCTGCTAGGTCTTACATGGTGGAGTTGACTTTTTAAAGTGTCGATTCTTGTTTGTGATAAACGAGCCTTCATGGTGGTTGAGTTTAACACCACACCCAGATAAACAATTGTCTGGGCCGGAAAAATCGAGCTTTTCTTCCAATTTATGGCGAAGCCCAGGTTCAACAGGTGTGATGTCAACACCTGAGCCTGTATCATCGCTTCCTGTCTGGAGCGTGACAGCAGCAGCAGGTTGTCCAGGTAAAACAAAACTCTCATCCCTGCTCTGTGTAATGGGTGCAGGGTTGTCTCCACACACTTTAAGAACGTACGAGGCGCAAGGGAATACCTGAACGGCAGCCTGTTGTACTGATACTTCATCCCCTGGAAGGAGAAACGCAGAAATTTTCTGTGTTTTGGGATGATCGGTATGTGAAAATAAGCATCTTTTAGGTCGATGGAAACAAACCAGTCATTTCTCTGGATGTTGTCCAACAGCTGTCTGGTTGTCAACATGTGAAACGGTCTGTCCATGATCGCCTTGTTGAAAGCTGACAGGTCCAGAATCGGTCTCATCCCTCCGGTCCGTTTTGGAACCAGGAAGTAGCGAGAGTAAAACCCTGTGTTTTCCTCTCCGTTGGGAACTCTGGAGATTACGTCTTTTATCAGAAGCTCTTGGACTTCTGCATTTAGGGATGAGATTTGGTCTGGTGATGACAGGACCGTCTCTAAAACTCCTCCGAACGGAGGGGGTCGGGTTGCAAATTGCAGCGTGTAACCTTTGCATAACACCCTGTCCATCCATTTGTCCGGCGAGCATGTTTTTAGCCACTCTGCGTAACGTTCGTGGAGTGGACGTGCGTTTAAGTGATGCGTCATGTTTTGAACTGATGTCATCCAATCCGCTGCCTCGACCGCCGTCATGTGCCGCGGGACTGTTTTCCGCGTGACCCAAGACGAGGCTTCCTCGAAAGGGCTCTGAACGCGCCCGTGCGCTGCGTTCGGACCACGGACCAACCCTCATGTCTGGGTGGACCGGTGTGTGCTGAGGCGAAGCGTGTGACAGCTGATGACGCCGTGGGGCTGCACGTTTGACGTCGCTGTGCGAACGTTGAGAGGCGGAGGGCGTGACTTCATCAACACCGTGCTGTTGGAGTGAAGGCTGCGAGCCCCGCGGGAGTACATGCTTCTTCTGGAGGGACGCGCGCCACTCGCGCTGGAGGGACGCGCGCCGCTCTCGCTGGAGGCGAGACTCGTCACCGGGTTCGTTCAGCTGTCCCACGCTTATGCTGCCGTGAGCTGCCGAGCGCTGAGACGCGGTGGATGACGGCCGCCCTCGTTTGTTCCGGTGAGGTTTCGTGTGTTGTTCTTGCTGGGAGCAAGGGCTTCCACCGGACCTGGTCTGCGGTCCCACATTTATACCGATGTGAGTCGGTGAGCGCCGGGCAGCTGTGTGTGCATCATCATCAACGCAGCGCCGTTTGGATGGAAGCTGTTTACATCGCCCGAATGCGCGTTTGACACCGCTTGGGTGAGGATCGTGCAGCTCTGATTGATAACGAGTTATTTCGCTTACCATTGTGTCGTGTGGGCGACTCGTCATGTCTTGGAGCGACGGTGTGTTTAAAAAACCTTTATTTAAGGACACCAGCTCGTTATGTGTGCGCAGCCGCTGTGAGTTCATCCGAGCTTACAGCCTGGCTAGAAACAGACACTTTGATCATTGAAAAATTATTTATTTCAACTTCCGTGTCATTATTACACACACCCTCGGCAGACCGTCATTTTTTAAATCTTCTCCCCCGTGAGCTCTGTGATTTGTTAGCCCCGAGCTCCGTCTGCAGGCGATCTCTGGGGAAACGTTGAACTGCAGGCTGCCGGGATGAAGAGGGGTGGTCTCTGACGGGCGGGGCTGGTGGTGGAGCTGAGCGAGACGATGCCGCCGCGGCCGGGGAACGCCGTTGTTTCTGCCTCTGCTCACGCCGGTCTCTCCAGCGGGCCGGGGGGCGGGATGAGCCGCGCGGCTTGATGAGATGGCGCACCGCCTCTGACACCTCCTCCGACTGCTTCAAATTCGCCAGCATGGTTTTGAAGCTGCTCCCGAACAGCGCGTCCGGCGTGATGGGGCCCTCCATCAGGTCCTTGTGCAGTTTCTCCGGCAGCGAGGGGGGGTGACGAAGCCAGGTGGATTGTTGGATCATCGTCATCCACGCTGCAATCCTCGACAGGCAAACCGTAGAGGAGGCGCACATGTTGAGGATGGTGTCTGCTGTCTTACAGAGGGAGCTCTTGGTCTCCTCGGACAGGTCTGCGGCCTCCAACCTCTTGGACATGCTATATGCTAGCAACGCCATGTTGTTGCTAGCTGCGGCTGCCTGAAAAGCACACTGATGGGCTCGATTGGAGAGCGCGGTCACCGTCTGGTCGTGTTTCCCAGGAGGGACGGGACGCTGCTCCAACCTGGACAGCTTTGCTCCAAAAGCGTCCGCGGGGCTTGGCTCAAGGGGGGATACCGAGGGATAGCCCCGCTCGGTGAACCCCTACACTCTGGTGGCTGTGGCCTCGTTCCAGTAGGCTGTTACCGCTGGAAAACGAGGCCAGATGGGATCAGGACGGCGAGCCGGCGTGGAGCCAAACCTTCCCGCAAGATCATTCGATCTGAGCGGGGGAGGTAAGGGAACGGAAAGTCCCTTTACGTTAGCAGCTTCCCGGATAATGGCGGGCAGCTCCGAGAGGAGTGCGCCAACGGCAGGGAGCGGTGTGGCCGTTGAGGCGGGAAACCCCGGAGGGGTCGAGCATCCGCTCGGCCTCCCTCATTCCAACACTGCGCTCCCCGGGAGGGAACGAGCGTCGGGGCTGCTGCTAACGTCACCGGTCCCAGAGGAATCATCCGATTCGCTCCGAGAGCCGGCGTCGAAGAAATCCATGGCGTCATCCAGCGAACAGTCTCCCGCCACGGACAGGCAGTCCTCGATGGTAGCCTTAAACAAGGCTGCTCTCCTCTGCCTTTCCTCCGGTGGAAGGTCGTCACAGAGGCGGCAGGAGGAAGCGCGGGCGACGTGGCGGGGACCCAGGCATCCCTCGCAGGTGTCGTGCCGGTCAAAGCTGAGCAAGTAACTGGTCTTGCAAGAAGGACACAAGCGGATGGTGTTGGAGCTGGACATCTTGCTGAAGGTCAAGGTCAGTGTTATTAGCTTGCTGAAGAAAAATGGGAGCCGATTACCCGCTCTTAATGTAACTTATACAGATCGGGTGGGGCCCACACAGCAGGTGGGCGTGGACTAATTTTTTCAGTGTGATGCTTACGCATAACGGGATAAACCCACTAAGCAAAGGCCTTAAAGGGCGAAGCCTATACGACATAGAACAGGTGTTTTATATTTTTAAAATTATTAAAATAATTAAAACTAATAAACGTTCTGTCACTTGAGACGACTTATCTGTGGTGGCTTTTGAATTGAATTTCCTAATGAGGCCTTTTACTGAATAAATTATAATTGTGCTAGAACTGACAAGTCAATAGGCAAATCTGTACCTTAATTGTCCCCTAATTTGTTTTAAAGATTTTCCAACATTTTCTTGTGTTTGTGGGCATTTGTGATTTTATGTGTTTGCAAATTAAAACCCTGCACGGACTGCATTTTTTTTTTTCAACAATTGAACACGTAGAAACAGCAGGTGAACTGTGAAGATAACATCTAGATGTTGTTACTCTCAGTTATGGGCATGATTTAATATTTAGCTGCCTCTTGGTCATGTTGTCATTGTAAATCAGAACTGGTTGACCTGCCTGGAAATGTAAAGGTTATTATTATTTTGTCTTGTTAAGTTACTTACTATATAATGGATTTAAAGCACATTATTTCCTCCTGAAATGCTGTGAAAGTACAATAAATGACAGTAAAGTTTGTTGTCACAGCTGGAATCAGATATTTTACGTTTTGATAAAGGATCATTTTCATCGCCCACCACTGAAGATAAAGGAGCAGTAATATCTGTATGTCTGCCTATGCTGTTACAAAATATCTTATGAACCACTGGAGATATTGTAGTGAAACTTATCAATGGACAGGTAACGATAATGAGTCTGCAACTCTAACTTTTGGAGTCAACCTAAATCAATATGGTCACCACAAAAATGGCTAACTTTCATTGATAGATTATCCATCCCTCATGGCTGAGAAAAGAAAAGACTGGTTTACAGGTTTTGATCTGAAGTTTAATATGGTATTAGTTGAGAGTCATTCTCAGCACATTCTCTGAACACGTTGCAACTCAGCTCTGTCTCAATTCAATTCAAAAATACTTTATTAATCCCAGAGGGAAATTATATGTTGTGGTAACTCATCATCCTGGTTTCATTAAAGAGTTGTTATAGATGCTGATGGCTGTGGGCAGGAAGGATCTCTTGTAACAGTCTGTCCTACAACGGCCTCTGACTGAAGACACTCTGTTGTTGTATGACAGTGTGATGAAGAGGGTGCTGAGGGTTGTCTATAATCTTCTTCATTTTATGAAGAATCCTTCTTTGAACAATCATCTCCAAAGGTTCTAGAGGAGTCTCCAGAACTGAGCCAGCCTTCTTTATGAAGTTTGCTCTGTCCCTTTTTGTAGATGGTTTCACTGTTTCATTTCCAGTCCAGTCTGTTGTCCAGGTGAACTCCAAGGTATTTATACTTCTCCACCACCTCCACTTCTTCTCCCATGATGGAAATAGGGTTGAACCTGTTCCTATTTCTCCTGAAATCTACACTCATCTCCTTTGCTTTGTTTACATTCAAGATGAGATGATTGTTCTTCAGAAGATGATCTTCTGCCATGAAATGTTGCAGGTGATAAGGAATGCTTACATTATAACGCGTCTCTTTTCTCTCAGCAGCCCTGCATGCTGCAGACTTCAGGATGGAAAACCCCGGTGGAAAACCCTCCATGGCACAGATTGTAGTTTTAGCCACCAGCTCTGCACTGACAGCCATATTCTACTCAATCTACAGAAGCAAAGCTACAACTGTTAGCCGTTTAAAGGTCAACCAAATGTTCCTTCCTTGGCTAATTTACTGCCAGCAATATTCACGTTTTATTCACCGTGTTTTCTTATCACAGGAAGCCCAAAAAGTCTCAATAGATCAGGATTTGAAAAGCCTCCTGTCTGAAACCCCTGGAAGATGTGTCCCGTATGCCGTCATCGAAGGTTTGCTGTTGTAAAGCATATTTTGATAGAAGCTCTTTGTTCACGAGAAGTAAGAGCTGCCATGCCCGCTCTGCAGGTGTGGTGAGATCGGTGAAGGACACTCTGAGCAGCCAGTTTGTTGACAACTGCAAGGGAGTGATCGAGAGGCTGACACTGAAGGAGGAAAAGATGGTGTGGAACCGCACCACTCACCTGTGGTAAGTCTGGAAATGCTCACGGAGAAGGTTTTGCGCTTTTCTTTTTCTGCCTTCCACTCCGATTCTGATCTTTGTTTAAAAAAACAAAAACGTTTTTTTCCCCCTTGACTTTTGAGTTTTGGGGTTTGGTGGCTGATAGTGCTGCAGTTTCCCAGATCCTGTGCACGGTGGATAGTGACTAGCTGGCACAGCATTTTTCCTCTGTCTGGTACCATACTCTTCCTTAAATCCAAATCCCTGCATCTTTGCTGGCTCGTTATTCAACCATCTCAGGTTGAAAATGTTTGGAATACAAGAAACTGGTACTTTTTGATGCAATGAAGTCAGCCCATTCAACTCTGACAAACATTACCCATTTCTCCCGAATGTCTTTGATGTTTGGGAAATAATTGGTGCTGACTCCCTCCTTGGCTGTATTTCCACAGAACTGTGCAACGCTACTATTCAGCATTTTGTTCCTGCCACAAATGTTCTTGGTTGGTGAGCAGTATAAATCTGTCTCGCTTGATGCAGATACTGTCATGATGTCACAGCACATACAGGTGTTGGTCATAATAGAATATCATGAAAAAGTTGATTTATTTCAGTAATTCCATTCATAAAGTGATACTTGTATATTATATTCATTCATTACACACAGACTGATATATTTCAAATGGTTTTTTTTTTTAATATTTATTTATAACTGACAACTAATGAAAACCCCAAATTCAGTATCTCAGAAAATTAGAATATTGTGAAAAGGTTCAATATTGAAGACACCTGGTGCCACACTAATCAGCTGATTACCTCAAAACACTTGCAAAGCCTTTAAATTGTCTCAGTCTAGTTCTGTCGGGTACACAATCATGGGGAAGACTGCTGACTTGACAGTTGTCCAAAATACGACCATTGACAGACACCTTGTACAAGGAGGGCAAGATACAAAAGGTCATTGCTAAAGAGGCTAGCTGTTCATAGAGCTCTGTGTCCAAGCACATTAATGGAGAAGCGAATGAAAGGAAACAATGTGGTAGGAAAAAAGTGTACAAGCAATAGGGATAACTGCACCCTGGAGAGGATTGTGAAACAAAACCCATTCCAAAATGTGGGGGAGATTCACAAAGAATGGACTGCAGCTGAAGTCGGTGCTTGAAGAACCACCACACACAGATGTATGCAAGACATGGGTTTCAGCTGTCGCATTCCTTGTGCCAAGCCACTCTTGAACAAGAGGCATCTTGCCTGGGACTGCTGCTGAGTGGTCCAAAGTTGTGTTCTCTGATGAAGTAAATTTTGCATTTCCTTTGGAAATCAAGGTCCCAGAGTCTGGAGGAAGAGAGGATAGGCACAGAATCCACGTTGCTTGACGTCCAGTGTCAAGTTTCCACAGTCAGTGATGGTTTGGGGGACCATGTCATCAGTTGGTGTTGTTCCACTGTGTTTCCTGAAGTCCAAGGTCAACGCAGCCATCTACCAGGAAGTTTTAGAGCACTTCATTCTTCCTTCTGATGACCAACTTTATGGAGATGCATTCATTTTCCAACAGGACTTGGCACCTGCACACAGTGCCAAAGCTACCAGTACCTGGTTTAAGGACCATGGTATCCCTTTTCTTAATTGTCCAGCAAACTTACATGACCTTAAGAGGACCTGACCTTGTGAAGAGGATACACCAGAGCCAACAATTCAGAAGAGCTGAAGGCCACAATCAGAGCAACCTGGGCTCTCATAACACCTGAGAAGTGCCACAGACTGATCGACTCCATGCCACGCTGCATTGCTGCAGTAATCCAGGCAAAAGAAGCCACAACTAAGTATTGAGTGTTGTACATGCTCATACTTTTCATGTTCATACTTTTCAGTTGGCCAACATTTCTAAAAATCTTTTTTTTAATTAGTCTTAAGTAATATTCTAATTTTCAGAGATTCTGAATTTGGGGTTTTCATTAGTTGTCAGTTATAATCATTAACAGTAAAATAAATAAACATTTGAAATATATCAGTCTGTGGGTAATGAATGAATATCAGAGAGTCAACGAGTCAGAGATTCTTTATTGTCATTCGCACCTCATGTGGTACATGTGGTGGAGCGAAATTATGTACACAGGGTCCCAGTTACATCCAACAATAAAATGTATAAGAAAAACAGTAATACCATCTAAGATATGAACTAAGAAAAACATCAACTAAATATACACTAAGCACTCATAACATAAAAACATTGAACATCAGCACAAACATGAACATGAGTCTGTGTGAGCGGATGTGCACGCATGAACACATCAACATTTAAACAGATCAGCAGCAACATGATGTGGTTTTTCACAGTGATTATTCTATGGCTGCAACTAACGATTATTTCAATAATCGATTCATCGGACGATTATTTTTTCGATGAATCGGCAAAAAAACAACGTTTTAATTTCCACCCCTTTATTCCAAAATTGAACATTTGACTGACATAGCAATTCGCACAAAAAACAGGTTGCTATTTGACTATTCTGTTAGTAAAATATTGAATAATAAAAAATAAAAGTTAGTCACATAGCTTAAAAAATAAATGTACACAAAAATATATACAAATGTATCTTTATACCTGCACAATATGTAGCTACTTTGTAAAATGTGTCCTTCAGGGAAGAGTGTAACCCAGATTAAAAGTGTGGATTATTGTAACCTGGATTAAAAGTTTGGATCATTGTAGTGAAGCCTTCATCTTCAACCATCGACAGAGGCCTCGTGTCAGTGACGATCATTTAAGGATGTTATCAGTGAAGACAGCTGCTGCTGTGGTGTCCATGGTGTTTGTCCATCATGAAGGCTGTTGTTGTTTTCTGGAATGAGAGAGTAAATATGTATTATAGCATACTTTACAGCAACTCAAGAAATGCCTTGTTTCACTTACAGTGTTAGGTTCAGGCAAAAGTAGCTAAAAGAGCAATTAAACACACACACACACACACACGTATACATATATAAAATACTTAATTGCACACATTTGCGTAGATGTAATAAATTACTTTAATTCCTGTTTAAATGCAATTCATCCTGCCATACATGCAGTGTCTTCAGTCTTTGCCAGCAAATTAAAAGTTGAAGCTTAATCATTAAATTATTATCTTGTGTTAGATTTATTTATAAATCACATTTAAACACTGCTTGTACCAATTAAATAAAATAAAAAGTAACACACGTTCTCTATCACCGTCATTAATCAACAAACAGGCGCTGCGGAGCCGTTTCGTTTTGTGCCCGTGAACAAAACGAAACGGCTCCGCAGCGCCGTGAAAGATGCATAATCGCACAACACAACGAATCGATAATGAAATTCGTTGCCAACGCTTTTAATCATCGATTTTTATCGATTTTATCGATTCGTTGTTGCAGCCCTAGATTATTCTAGTTAGAGATTCATGAGTCAACAGCCTCAGGGTAGAAGCTGTTTCTCAGTCTAGTGGTTCTACACTTAATGCTCTTCAACCTCCTTCCTGAGGGGAGTGGGGCAAAAAGTGTGTGTGCTGGGTGAGTGAGGTCCTTCATGATGCAGGTAGCCCTCTTCCTGCATCTAGAGGTGTAGATGTCTGTGGTGGTGGGGAGGCTGACTCTGACAGTCTTCTGTGCAGCATTCACCACTCTCTGCAAAGCTTTTCTTTCTGCAGCTGTGCAGCCTCCATGCCACACGTTGATGCTGGAGCACAGCATGCTCTCCACTGCACACCTGTTGAAGGAGGTGAGGACTGAGCTTCCCAGACCAGCTCGCCTCAGCCGTCTGAGGAAGTAGAGTCTCTGATGAGCTTTCTTGATCAGGCTGGTGGTGTTGTTGCTCCAGCTGTGGTTGTCATTCATGTGTACACCCAAGTACTTGTAGCTGGAGACCACTTCCACCGCAGATCCTCTTATGTTCAGGGGGGTGTAGATGTTTTTGTTCCTTCTGAAGTCTACAATCATCTCCTTTGTCTTCTTCACACTGATGTGAAGGTTATTCTCTTTGCACCAGCTCTCCAGGTGTTCCACCTCTTGCCTGTAGCTGGAATCATCATTGTTTGTGCTGCATCCCACCACCGCTGTATCGTCTGCAAACTTTACAATGTGACAGCCTGGATGGGTAGCTGCACAATCATACGTGAGCAGAGTAAACAGGAGGGGGCTCAACACACATCCCTGAGGAGAGCCAATGCTGAGGGTTATGGTGGAGGAGGATAAGTTGTGGATCCTCACTAACTGTGGTCTGTTTGTTAAGAAGTCTAGTACCCAGTTGCAAATGGAGGGGCTTAGTCCTAGTGTAGATAGTTTTTCCATCAGGGTTTGGGGGATCATGGTGTTGAAGGCAGATGTGAAGTCCACAAAGAGCATACGGACGTAAGAGTTTTTCTGCTCCAGGTGGTTGAGCGCAGTGTGGACCACAGAGGAGGTGGCATCCTCTGTTGATCGGTTCTCACGGTATGCATACTGATGAGGGTCCTTGTTGATGCTGATGGTTGTTTTGATGTGAGTCATGACCAGTTTTTCGAAGCATTTAGCAACTATCGGGGTGAGGGCCACTGGCCGATAGTCATTCAGACCAGTCACTGTAGAGCTTTTTGGGACTGGGATGATGGTGGCAGTCTTCAGGCAGGTGGGAACTGTCTCCAGGGTAAGTGAGGTGTTAAAGATGTCTGCCAGCACCTCGCAGAGCTGATCAGCACATTCCTTCAACACTTTTCTGGGGATGTTGTCTGGGCCAGTTGCTTTGTGCGGATTAATCCTCCTGAAGGTACTCCTTACTTTGGCCGAGGTCACGCTGAGATGCTCTTCATCCGGTGGTGAGGTGAGTCTGGTGCTGGGTGGTCTGTTCGGGTCTTCAAAGCGTGCATAGAACTTGTTGAGGGCATCAGGCAGAGATGGGTCTTTGGGGCATTGTTCACTCCTTCCTTTATAATCTGTTATGCACTTAATGCCCCTTCACATGCTCCGAGGGTCTTGTGAGATGAATTGACCCTCAATCCTCTTTGAGTAACCCAGAACTGAGGATGTGTATT